TCGCAACTCAAACTGTCACTTCACAAACCCAGTCGCCCATAACATCAATCAGAGCAACTCCGAAACTCAAGCGGGGGCATACCTGAGCTAGCCGACGCAGTCGATCAACGATAAGAGGGACGCATGGCATTTCATGAGCACGGCGAGAAAATACAGCGGCAACCGCAACCTCACCTTGTTGATTTTCATGTTTTCCCCTACTGTTTTGCTGAATCCAGCGTCTTAGTCACTGCTCTACTGCCCCGAGTGGCCTCTCCGCAGTGGCAAACCGATGTTGGCCATCCCTGACTCCTCTCTCATTCCTGCTCGTCCCTCCCCTCCATGTCGTTTCCCCTCCCTGTCCTTCTATCCTTCCCTCGCCCTCGCACAGGCCACGGATTGCCCACGGGGCCTCAGAGGAAATTCTCCATTGCAACCCGTACGCTTTCAGCGCACTCTCACGCCAAAGCGTTCGCAACTGCGAGCTGAAAAGAACGGGGCCTCGGGCACAACGCATCTTCCCGCGGGGCCTCGGGCACAAGGAATCGGCGACGCATGGCTTGGGAAAGCACGCGGCGCAATGGCCGCGCGATTCAGAATCGCGCATCGGCAAAACTAGGAACTGAGAGAAACACTAACTACTGGATCTTCTTCTTGGGGGGCGGGAGCTTGACGAGAAGGCTTTTCTTAGGCACCGTTCCGCTGCCTGCGGCCGCCGCGCTGCTGCTGCTGGCTGACGCTGCAGCGGCCGCGGCAGCGAACTCCGTCTTGCCAGGCGCCGCTGCCGACACCTCCTTGGAGGCTGCGCCCTGCCCAGACGCATCCTCTAACTTCTGGGCGAGAGAGGCGGGGAGCGTCGCCAAGGAAACCCCCAGGCGCCAGTCACGTACTTCAGAGTGGATTGCTTGCTGACGTCGGTCACGATGGCGTTGCACAGCACTGCCGCCCCCATCAGCTTTGCAACTTGGTTCCGCTTGTCCTTGAGGCTGGGCAGCTTGTTCTTGGTGTCACGCAGCTGTTCGAGCTCGCCAGGGGAAGCCCAGGAGGCCGGCAGCGTCGTTGCGCAAAGGTCCTCGACGATGCGCTCCGACATCGTGAAGTTCACAACGAACGATTCGGCCTTCTGGAACTCGGCCTCGCGCAGTGCATCTGGGGTCGAGCTCGCCAGCCAGCGCTTCTCGTCGAAGGTCCACGTCACGATGAGACCCCAGAGGTTCTCGCCGTCAGGCCCGTACTTCGCGAGGAACGCGTCGACGTGCGTCGCGTCCAAGTTCGACACGATCATCGCGGCACCCGCCTGCCACTCCTTGATCAGGGCGTCCTTCCACGTCTTCATCTCGGCCTTCCCCTTGACGACGTCGTGCAGGCCATCGTGCAAACGAAGGTGGGTGTTTGCCGCAATGCATCCTACGCTCTTGCCCTGGGAGATCTGCTCGCAGCACTGGCGGATCGGCATGTAGGACTTCGCTGAATCCACCAACGATGCCACGGAGGGCGGGAGGCGAGACTCAAGCGTCTTCATGGCAGCCAAGAATTTCAATTCCACCTTGCGGCACTCTGGACTGCCAACGATATTCGTGAAAATCACGTCTATGGGGGCCTGCACGGAGTAAGACGACAACTCCTCGGAGAGGCTTTGGAAACATGCGGCGTTGGTGTCCTTCACTTTGGATGCGCATTTCAAAGCCCCCTCTTTGATCCAGATCTCGCTCCACATGGTGGCCACAGAGGCGCTGTCCTTGTAGTTGCTGCGGGACTGCACGTCCGCTACGTCAACCATGATCTGGCTGCGCTGCTGCGCCTCGACGATGACAGCTCTGTCGGATGCACCGAGATCAAAGCACAGCAAGAACGTCGCGACCTGAACGACGAGCTGGAAGGGGTCGGCCTCATACTTATCAAGAATGCCCGACTCACCTTGCAGGAACAAAGGAGGGGGGGCTTTGTGACCCTTTAGATACTCTAATGGGTCGCGAGGCCTTGTGGCAATCTAAACGGTCGCGAGGCCCTGTGGCAATTGGCGGAAACGGTCGCCAGGCCCTGTGGCAATCTAATTTAGATTGCCACAGGGTTTCGCGACCGTTTATATTGCCACACAACTGGGGGAGGCACGGGGCGGTTCTCTAGCCACGAGTCAAATCATGATGGAAGCGTTCTCTGGCCACCAAACAAACATGGCGTTTCGGATTTGCCGTCCACGGTGGTTGCCACTGCTGCGCCCCAGTCGGGGCCCATGCATCGCGTTTGGCTCAAGTCCGACGTTGTTAACGGGAGGCCCCGTCGGCCCCAGGAGACCCAGCGAACAGCGAACGCGATTGCCCCTGGAAGTGTTTTCGATTATCCTCCTTCCTCCTCTTCCTCCTCCTCCTCTTCCTCCCCCTCTGCCGCACTGCCCCCCCATTTATCCATAATGTTATCCGCCTCTCCTACTCCGACTGTTTTTCCTCATCCGCATCCTCCTCGTCCCCCTTGTCTTTCCTCATCCTCCTCGCCCTGGCCCTCTTCTCCCTCCTCATCCTCGCCCTCATCCTCCTATCCTCCCCCCCCTCACCGATTCTCTTCCCCCCTCTATCCCCCCTCCATCCTCTTTCTTATCATCCTCGCCCTCCTCCCAGAAAGGATACTCTGGCATATCATTTCAGCCGCGCCTCCACCCCTCCACCATTCACACAACGAGGGGCCTGGGGACGAGTACGACAAGTTGTTGGCCATGATGACGTTCGCGTACGCTGAGAAGTTACCGTAGTGGGAAAGCACCGCCGACATGGCAGCGCAAGTCGTCGAGATGAACTCGTCGCGCAATTTCAGCAGCTCGACGTTCTTCTGGCCGATCTTGTCCTCGTCGTCGTCGAGCGTGTCTACGTACTTCGAGAACAGGTCGATGTCGTTGCCTTCGCCCTCAGCGGCCTTCACGAGGGAAGTGCACAGTTGCTCCACGGCGGCCCCATTGTCCATCCTTGTGAGGGCCCCCCCGATCTCAGACGTGAACTGCTTCAAAGACTCCTCGACGGAAAATGCGAGCGGCCCGATCTCCGACCCGACATCTTGTTTCGCGATGCAGTCCCAGGCAGCCTTGGCGCTGCTGCCTGCCCCCCCGCTGACCCTGATGAGACAGCGAAGCCCGTTGCTCAACATGTGTTTGGTGGAGTCCAATTTGACAGCTTGCACTCGCAGATCCTGCGGAAGCCTCCGACGAGTCGAGCCCCCGGATCTTGCCGAACAGGCGCATCGCGTCGAGGCCGAACAGCACCTGAGGCAGCCGCCCAGTGGACTCGCTCACGGCAGGAACCTGGACGTCCAAGCTGCCGACGTCAACGGGGCCAATCAAGGTGTCGCATTGGAGCATCATATTTGAGTAGTCTGCCTCGGACATACGCTTCAAAGACTTCCCCACGGAGCTGGAGATCATGTTCGTCTGCGCGGTGGCCTTCAACTCGTCGAGGTCCCCTGCGCCAGTGAGCGCGCCGACCGAAAAGCTTGCGCCCCCAAGGTCCTTCGCCACCTTGAGAGCGGCGACCATGCCGTCAATGCCGAGCGACATCAGGTTGAACGACGTGGTGCTCAGCATGTTCGCTTGTGTGGTGACGTCTGCTTTCGTCAAGATCGCAAGGATATCGCTGGGGTTATCGACTGCCTTCATTGGCGCATCCTTCAGCTCCTGTATGTGCTGCGGCTCTCCTCGAGCTTCGCGCTCATGTTGAAGAGGAGTTCGGATTCCTCAGACGGGCCAGGCTCGCCCGGCACAGCAGCCACCTTCGAAGCTTTGGCCGACAATATCGTGAGCATGTTCTCGAAGTCGCGGGGCCTGAACGTTTTGTTCCAGATTGCCGACAGCTGGAAGGCCGTCTCGGCCCCTTCGAGCAGCGCTCGCCCCGACTCGACGGTGTTCGCGGCTGGGCTTCCCGCCGCGCTGCTGCGACGGCCCTTCTTCTTCGGGGGCGGCTGCGCCTCGGAGATCCCTGGCGATGTACCTGGCGCTGATGTGGACGGGGTTGCCCGAATCGAAGTTGGCGCATGGCGGGTCTTCGAAGCAAAGAGGGGAGGTGCTGGGCCTCTGCTACGGCAACCAATGACAGACGACGCCACGCTCGCGATGTCCTCCGATCCCACCGTGGACGCAGCGCCAGCGGCGGAGGTGGTGAACCCCGCCATGAAGCCGACAGGAGGGGATGGCGAAGGTTCCTCTGCATCGAAGTCCTGCCTGTCCTGCAAGTGCTGCTCGGCCGAGTCGCCCCCCGCCGCCAAGCCATCCACCTCAACGTTCTCGGCGTGGCGATCCTTGGCGCCATCCGCGTCGGCGTGCCCCTCGACCTCCCTGCGCAGGGCGCTGCGCTTCATCCCGCGACTGAATTTGCACTGGGCGCCACGTGGCATCTCAGTCACAAACGCCCCGAGGACGCCCGCCCCCCCAAACCCGACCTCGTACTGCATCTGCTCCTCGATGTGCTTAATGAGGGACTCCTGATCTGGAAAGCGGAGGTTGCGGTCACAGGCAAACTGAACAAGATCGTGGAAGTGACCCTCCTCGAACGCGTCGTTGTAACTCTCTAGCTGCTTGGTGGTTTCGGCCTTTACGTTGACGCTCTCGGACGCCTGCAGCGCGTTGGTTCCTGTGGCACGGTCCTTTCGAAGTCGGCAGTGTCGTTCAGCTTCCTCCCCACCGTCCTTTATATTCTCGTTGAGCTCCTCCTGGCTCGTTCCCTTCAAGTAGTGGCGACCTCTGACGCATGCGCACTTCCCGCACTCCTCCCCCACGGGCGTCCACAGCTGCGTGGTATTGGAGAGCTCGAGCTTCGGCCACCAGAGGTACTCGGCCTCCCCCTCCACGTCTTTCTCGTAGCCGTGGGCCCCCTGGCGGCGCGTGGCGCAGAAATTCTCGCGCGCGCGTTCAGCAAGGCATGGTCGGTCCCTGCTTTCGCGCCCCTCTCATTATCAACGGGCCTGGCGGGCTGCGCAGCGCTCCTCTTCTTAGCCTTGCCACCCTTGGCCTTGGCCTTGGACTCGCGCGAGCCGCCGCCCATGGCGCCCGCCGCCGTCTCCGGCAAGAGAGAGCCCAAGGCGTTGGGAAGCTCGCGTTGGCGAGCTTGCACCGCTTCTAGGCGCCTGAACTTGAGCCCAAACAGCAACGGTCGTGCGTGATGGGAACGATACAAGGACTGCTTGGCAGACGCGACAAGTCAGTCCGTCGGAAGACATCTACCACGCCCACAACCCTCGAACAGAAGCATGGCTTCGGCCACGCGCACTGAGGTGCACCACATAGGGTTGAGCCACAGATTGCGCAACATGTTGCGCCATGCGTTGCGCCTAGGATTGACTAGGATGCGCTCGGTGTTAGCCAGCATTGTCCCCAAAGGATAGGTTGTTCCAGTCTAAGCGCTAAACGGTGGGTGCTCTCTCTCTCTCTCTCTCTCTCTCTCTCTCTCTCTTTCTCTCTTTATTTTTTTCTCTCTCTCTCTCTCTCTCTCTCTCTCTCTCTCTCTCTCTCTTCTGCGATATAGCTGCGTCAACAACAGAGGAACATAATGATGACAGACTCTGAAAAGTAGAGGGCTGCTGCTGCTACTACTACTGCTACCACTACTACGAATCGTAGTGTCGTTTCTCGTATGGGCGATACTATGTTGATTACTGGTACAACGGCAACAACTATAACAACAACATCAACTACGATTACTACTACTGCTGCTACTACTACTACTACTATTACTATTACTACTAGTACTACTACTACTACCACTACTACTACTACTACTACTACTACTACTACTACTACTACTAGTACGACTACTACTACTACTACGACGACTACTACTACTACTACTACTACTACTAGTACAACTGCTACAAAGACGGCCATTACTACCACTACTGCTGCTACTGCTACTACAGCTGCTACTAGACATTATACGGCTAAGCCTCAGACGACTACTACTTATAGTACTACTTCTAATTCTACTGCGACGACCACTCCCGCTACGACTGCTTCTGTGGTTATTGCTTCTACTACTGGTTCTATGTCTGCTACTACTCGTGGCGGTACTACTATTACTACTTCTGCCACTACTACTGCTGCTACTAAGACTACTACGATTTAAAATACCAGTTCTTTCACTACTATTACTACTACTACTACGATTACTACGGCTATTACTTTTACTTCTACGTGTCGACTAGTAGTGCGTTGACTAAACTTCCTGTGTAAAATATGAGTACTCGTGCTACTACTAGTACAACTAAGACTACTTGTTCTTCTACCACCAACACTCCTACCACCCCTACTTCAACTACTACGACGACTACTACTACTACTTTCTATTACGATTCCTACCGCGACTACTAGTTTCTACTGCTACCACCTCGGCTGCTTTTTCTTAGTCTACTAGTACTACTACCACTCCTACCACTCCTACTTCTACTGCAATAACTGCTTCTCTACGGCGACTAGTGTTACTACACGTATTACTACTTCTATTGTTTCTACTACTTGTGCAACCTCTACCACTCCTACAACCTTCATTACTCTTGCTACTGCTACTGCTACTGAGACTACTGCTACGATTGCTACTCCTACTACTTCTCCTACTGCTACTGATATCATTACTAGAACAGCTACTACGATGTCTCCTTCTACGTCTACTTCTACTTCGTCTCCGACCACCACCACTACAACTGCCACTGTTGCTGCCGCTATCACTGTCAAGACCTTATTCGCTGCAAGCGCATCCGCGTAAGCTCCGGGCAGAAATGCTCGGCCGCTGTGTTTTGGCATATTTTCTTTTTTGTGGCGGAGCAGCCACCCAAGACGGCCCAGGCTGGCTCCGCATACTTCCCAAAAGGCCCCAGGGCGGCCCCGAGAAGTTCGCCCAGCAAAACTATACTTGATCTGTTTTTGCGATGTCGGGTCGGCGAAATTTTATTCTTCACGTTTTGATCATTGCTTCGCGCCCGCAGGCGAACAAATGCCCCCAACCCGCCGGCGGCCGCGGGGGCGTCAATAAAAATTACGTTGTAAGGGCTGAATCATTCATGGCGCAACAAGCCTACTATGTCGACACGCTTCATGAACACTGAAAGCGAAGGCTTTCGGGGACGGGGCAAGACGTCTTAAATATTGCATCGACATTGTCCAAGCGGGGTCTTTGAGGCCCCGATGGTCGCTAGGGGGGGGGGGGGGCCAATTCAAGCCCGAGACTTGGATGCCGAACTTGTATTTCGAGCCCACGAGGCCCGAAGAAGCCCCCAAGAGGCCCAGAAACAGCCCAAGGAAGCCACAACAAAACCAACCGGCTACCCCTAGTTGCCACGTTCCATTTCCAGGCCATCACGGTGATTTCCCTTCGATAGACAACGCAGAACTTTGAACGGGCGCCCGCGCATTGGAGATGACGTTCCGTCTTAATTCTGCCGAAATCATTCCGAATAACACATGCACGTTTCAAGCGCCAATCGGCCGCCGTCAAGGGTTGATTTAAGTGCAAAGGCCACCGCAACAATTTTTCGGTTGAGGGCAGTTCACGCTGCATCACGCACGCGACGCGCGCGCATGGTCACCCGCGCGCGGCGGGTGACCCGCGCGCGGCGCGCGTGCGGCTCACCCGAGGTCCGCTCGTTCACCGTTGAGGGTTCGTTGTAGTTTCCAAGCCAACATGGCGACGGTTCGATTGTTCTCACTAATCACCGCGCGCGCAACACGCGCGCGCGGGCGGGAGTTGGCTCTGTACCTTTGCAATGTACCAGGTCTATAACATAGCCTATGTTTCTTTGGCAGTTCCAATCCGCCACCGCTGAGTGGCCGCCTTAGTTTCCGTGCCACCATGGCGACTCTTTAGTTGTGGACAACGCAATTCACCACGCGCGCGGGTGACCATGGTCACCTGCGCACGGTGGGTGCCCCACGCGAGCGGGTCACCTGAAATCAGGAGCGCGCAAGGCCCGCTTTGCTTACCAAGCCTATATGGTGACCTCTCGATTCTTGTCAAGCTGTCCGCCATAGGAGCATCGGGGTCACCAGGGTCCATGTTACTTTCCAAGGCCTATTTGGCGTTGAGGATTCACTTCGGTTCCCGTGCCACCATTGCGGCAATTTGTCCAGGCCAGACTGAACTCCCAACGGGCGCTCGCGCGCGCAGAAGGTGCTGCGTTTTTCGCCAGCGCAGGCATGCAACAGAACACGTGCATCTTCAAAACCGATCTCGCCACCGTTAAGGGTTCACGTGTAGCTTCCACGCCATCACGGCGGCAAGCCGTTGATGGGCCGGGTGGGCTAAAAAAACGCTCGGGGCCCGCGCTGTGCACCCTAGATGGCACCCAACAGAAGCAGCGTTAAGTTCAAAGTCCAGTCAGTCAGCATTCAAGCTTCAGTTGGGTACCAGGCCAATGTTGCCGCTGTTCTTTCGCGGGCAATGCTGGGCCCCCAGCGGGCGCGCGCGGAGGTTCTGCGTCGCCCGCCATCGAGGGCACAGAACAGAACCCGTTCAACTGAAAGTCTAACTTGGCACCGTTCTTGGGGCGCCTCAGTTCCCCCGCCAGTGCCGCGACCGCCCCATTGTTGCTCGCGCTGGCGCCCCAACAGGCGAACGCGGCGGGTCCTGCGCTGCTCACCGTGACAAGACAACAGGACACACGCAAACTTAGGAATTGCAGCTGCCACCGCTGCGCGTTCATTTTAACTTCCCCGCCGAGGTGGCGTTCCCCCTTTCGCGAACGTAGCAGGGCCCTCGACGGGCGCGGCCGATGGCGTTGGATGCCTTGCGCTGCCCATCGCCTAACAAGAAACGCGCAGCCTGCGGCGATTGCTCGAGACGCCTGCAGAGCACGATTGCGTCGGTGACGAACAACTCCAGTAGCTGCGCCCAGTGCGCGACTGGCCGAGAACTCCGCCGGGTTGCCGCACCCGGGTCTCCGAGTAGCCCCCAGGGTCGCGGCTTGCACGCGCCGCAGACAATCTCAGCCATTGGCGGCGGGGGGGGGGGGCGCCTCTAGACCCTGGGAGTTCGCCGTCGGCCGAAAAGAAACAGCGTTTGGCCTTGCCCAAACAAGGCTGCGAGGCGCCATCAGGCAACGCGGCTTTGCAGCCACTGAGGTCGAGGGTGGGCTCCATGGCCAAGAGGCGCTGCGCTCAATCTTGCGGCTCGGCCCACGGTGGCCCGCGGGTTTGTTGCACGCTCGCGGCGTGAATTTGCCCATCAAACGCCAGCGCCACGCAAACCACTTGCATTGCTTCGGGGGAACTCCGCATGACAAGCGCATGTACGCCCATCCCACATCCATCTTACATCGGGCGATCTATCTTACACTCATAGAACAGACATCTTACATCCAACTCACATCCACCGTGCACCCATCTTACATCCATCTTACTTGCGTGTGCGATGCACATCCATCTTACATCGGGCGTTCAGGCCTGTTCAGGCCCCCGCACGCATGTCAACAACCGCGCGTTCAGGTCTGTTCAGGCGGGCCGCATTGGAGAAATCATTATTGCAGGGGTTTCCATTCAGGTCCACTCAGGTCCATTCAGGTCCATTCAGGTCCGTTCCGGTCGCTCATCCAGGTCTGCTGAAGTAGTTTACGATGATGGGATGATATGTATGTACAACACGCATCTTATGAGTGCCGTGTTGATGCGGCATGTTGAACGCGACGATGCCAGCATTTGCTTGGCCTCCGTTTCGGCTGCACCCGTGCCGCGATGCGCAACGTCGGCAGCCATGTTGGCAGCATGGGCGCCCGTTCCACGTCCGCGCGCAATGGCCTCCAGCCCCATCAAAACTGAGAGGCCGATCGACACTGCAGCGGCTCGGAAATCATGATGGCCGAAATTAGCGAGGGGGGCGACCGCGCCCTCGGAGGGCGGTAGCGAAGTCAACGAACACGACGCGGCGCTTTTCCAAGCGCCCCAAGGTTCTTGGGCGATGTATTTGGCCGCGACCATGGTTTTTCGATATGGCTGACTTGAATGCAAATAATTGGGCCTGAATGGGGCTGGATAGCGCGTTCTGGGCTGCCGCGGGAGTTG